TAAGCACAAAAGCCAGTTGGGTGACTCTGGGCCAGTCACTGGGAGACAATGAATTCTAGCCCTACCTTAAGCACAAAAACCAGTTGGGTGACTCTGGGCCAATCACTGGGAGACAGTGAGTTCTAGTCCCTCACTCTCAGCCAAACAGGATGATTGTTGTTGGGAAATTGTTGGGAAGAAGGATTACTCGATACGTTAGCTGCCTTGAGTTACTTACAAAGTATTAAAGGCAGGATTTAAGAAATCAAATAAATACTAAAGGGAAACTTCAAAACCTTAAAATGCAAACATAGAACCAAAACAGCGCTTCTCTAAACAATACAAAAAAAAAACACGGTTGGTCGACCTCTAAGGCTCTTTAATTCCTTTCTGTCTCCCCAGCACCAGCTCCAAGCTCAGCACCTCTCCCATCACGCGCCCCCCATCCCGCTGACCCCTCACCCTTCTGGCGTCCAGTCGGCCAGCCTCTCCGGCCTCGGAAGCGCTTCTGGGCTGCTGGCTCTGTCAGGAGCATTGGGGACGCAAGCTCACCTGGTTGCCAAGGATGACCGAGGGCTTCTCGATGCCGACCGAGGTAGGTTCCTCCAGATAACCTTGGTTCTTCATTCTTTGAGAGTGAGCTATAAAAGATTTTTCCTGATCGATCAAATTAGCTTAAATGGGGGAGGGTGGGAAGGCTGGGTCTAGCAGGACAACCCTGGCAAATTTAAGGTGCGCAGACTTCAGTTCCCAGAATTGTCCAGTGAGCATTTGTGGACTTCAACTCCCAGAATTCCCTAGCTACCATTTGTAGACACAACTCCCAGGATTCTCTAGCCACAGTTTGTGGACTTCAAGTCCCACAATTCCCTCACCAGCATTTGTGGACTTCAAGTCCCAGAATTCCCCAGCTACTGTTTATGGTCTTCAACCCCCCCCCACCCCCCAAAAATTCGCTAGCTAGCATTTGTAGACAAAACTCCCAGAATTCCCTCACAAGCATTTATGGACTTCAATTCCCAGAATGCTCTAGGCAGTGTTTGTGGACTTCAATTCCCAGAATGCTCTAGTCACTGTGGACTTCAATTCCCAGAATTCTCTCGCCAGCATTTGTGGACTTCAACTCCCAGAATTCCCTCACCAGCATTTGTGGACTTCAACTCTCAGAATGTTCTAGCCACTATTTGTGGACTTCAACTCCCAGAATTCTCTAGCCACTGTTTGTGGACTTCAACTCCCAGAATCCCCTCAACAGCATTTGTGGACTTCAACTCCCAGAATCCCCCAGCCAACATTCATAAATTTCAGGTCCCCGAATTCTTAAATTCTTTAAAATGTCTTTAAAAGCCGCCCTAATCGAGAAAGATTGCTGCAACTTGTGGGCTTTCATTGTGGTTCCCCTAATTATGCAGAAACGTTAAATGTCTAGTTTAAAATGATTCTGCCGAGAAGGTGACTAGCTCACATTGTCTGATATTGGGAGGAATAATCATGGTGGTTTGGGAATTCTGGACGTTGAAGTCTGCATACCAGGTTTGAGGAATACAGCACTGGTGTTTTGAGTCGGTTTGAAAGAATGCACCGATCTTAAAAAGTCTGTTTTGCTTGTGTGTGTTCCCTGTGAAATGTGCTTTATAAGGTGGGAATTTAGGGGCTCCCAATCAAAATTTAGAAATGGGGTAACGGGGGAAAAAAATGTCAACGGCTCCTAAAAGTAAAAGAGGTATAAATGTGGAGCGGCTGGCTAGATAGCTGTTGGAGTTTGCTGTTACTTGCTCATTTATTTATTTCATTCAGTGTATTTAACTCAAAGGGTGCCCAACTTTTAAGACTTCGGGACTTCAACTCCCAGAATTCCAGGACTTGGGGAATTCTGGGAATTGAAGTCTCCCAAGTCTTCGTTGCCAAGGCTAGACACCTCTGATTTAGCTCACGTTAGGTAATTTACTAATGGACAATTTGCATCGTAGCTACAAGTGTTCCTCGACTTACGACCAGTTAGAGACCATTTGAAGTTCAAATGGCGCCAACAAAATTAACATATGACCAGTCTTTGGCACACATGTTGGTTGCAGCGTCCTGCGGTCACGTGATCACCCCTCGTGACCTCCCCAGCTTATTTCTGGCAAGCAAAGCCAATGGGAAAAGCTGACAGGGAAGGTTGCAAATCATTACAGTGTGATGTCTCACTTAACGACCGCAGCGATTCCCGTAATCAGACTTAACAGCAAAGAAAAAGAGATCATAACTTCGCTGAACACCAGAAAAAAGCCTGTAAAATCACGATGCTTCGCTTTGCGGCTGCCCCCGTATAGCGACAAATTTTCCCAGTCGTAAGTCGAGGACTGCCTGTATTTCTAAGATTATGGGCTGCAAAAGTTTACCTGTGCCAGGAGTCGGGGAGAAGAGAATTCAGAGTGCTTTTCCACACTAATCACCCGGTCTCACTTATTGCTGGCCCCCGAGACGAATGCCAGCCTTCCAATATGAATAATTTTAGGGGTGCAATTTTGACAAGGAATAAGGGGGGGGGGAATGCATCCATTTGGGGGGAGCTCCTCCTCCCCAAATTCCCTTGAACCACCCACCCAACCTCCTCCAAATTAAAGAGGCGGAGAAGCGCAACCCCGCGATAATTTAATTTTTACATTTTTGTGCCGTTGCGGGAAGGTGTTTTTATGTACAGTTGCAGGCCGGGATGAGTGACATTTTTGGTGTTTTGACACTAAAATCCCTTCTCTTCTTGCCTTGTTGCCATTCCATGTTGCCATGGTGACAGAGAGAGACCCTGGGCCGGTAAGTATCTTTGCTTCCCCCTCCCTCCTTTCTTTCTCTGCACCCTGTCCCTCCCAATTGCTTCTCCTTCCGCCTAACCCCCAGCAGGGAAGAGAAGCTGTGAACCAAAGAGACTAGGAAAAAAGGCGGTTTATCTCCAACGGAGTTTTATTTATTTATATTATATATATATATAAAATTCCTGGATTGCCTCGTGCAAGCATCACCCTACTTACATCTTCATCTGAGCCTCTGTAATATATATATATATACACACATACACATACACATACACATATACATATACATACATACATACATACATACATACATACATACATACATATTACAAAGGCTCAGATGAAGATGTAAGTAGGGTGATGCTTGCACGAGGCAATCCAGGAATAAGGACCAAGCAGCTTGCAGAAAAATCTGACAATTTGAAATTTGCTGGGGGTTTTTTTTGCATCTTAATGCAAATAATTGGAGACAATTGAGGAATAAGGACCAAGCAGCTTGCAGAAAAATCTGACAATTTGAAATTTGCTGGGTTTTGGTTTTTTTGCATCTTAATGCAAATAATTAGAGACAATCGAGGACTAAAGACCAAGCAGCTTGCAGAAAAATCTGACAATTTGAAATTTGCTGGGTTTTTTTTTTTTTGCATCTTAATGCAAATAATTAAGAGACAATTGAGGAATAAGGACCAAGCAGCTTGCAGAAAAATCTGACAATTTGAAATTTGCTGAGATTTTTTTTTTGCATCTTTAATGCAAATAATTAGGGACAATCAAGCAATAAGGACCAAGCAGTTTGCAGAAAAATCTGGAATTGCTGGGGTTTTGGTTTTTTTTTTTTTTTTTTGCATCTTAATGCAAATAATTTGGGACAATCAAGGAATAAGAACCAAGATGCTTGCACAAAAATCTGAACAATTTGAGAGTTGCCGTTTTTTTTGGCATCTTAATGCAAATAATTGGGAGACAATCAAAGAATAAGGACCAAGCAGCCTGCCTAAAAATCTGACAAAATTGAAATTTCCTTGGGGTTTTTTGGTCCTGAATGCAGGTAACTGGGGCTTTTTCTGGACCAGATTCTGCAGGCTGAGCCCCCCCCCCGCCCCCCGGGGTTCCCGACCCGGAACCCCTTCCCGAAACGGGTTCCCCCCGGGGGGGCACATGAATCAATCCAGCGCAGAATTTTTCCTTTGCCAAGCAAAGCGAGAAGGCAAAAACCCCAAAAAGGAGAAATAACTATCAACGCTTTCCTTGGAGGGGGAGGAATTTCCTTTCTGTCTTGGAAATAAGCAGGAAGGAGGTTGGCAGGAGGGGCGGGGGGGGGAAATGCCCCTTTGACTTACCCCCGGTCCTCGCGCTTACAACCCAAGCGGCATCCCCACAGTCACAGGATCAAAATTTGGGATGCTTTCCTGGCTACGGGCAGCTCGTCCTCGACTTACGACCCCCGTGGAGCCCAAAGTTTCTGTCGTTTAAGTGAGGCATTTGTTAAGTGAGGTTTGCCCTGTTTTACGACCTTGGTTGTTAAGTGGATCCCTGCAGTGGATAAGTTAGTAAGCCGGTTGTTAAGCGAATCTGGCTTCCCCCGTTGTCTTTGTTTGTCAGGTGGTTGCAAAAGGGAATCACATGACCTTGGGACACAGCAACAGTCATAAGTATGAATCCGTTACCAAGCATCTTTCCCTTCCCCTCTTCCCTCCCCTTCCCTTCCCTCTTCCCTTCCTCTTCCCTTTCTCATCCTTTCTCTTTCCTTCCCTTCCCTTCCCCATCCATTCCCCTCCCCTTCCCTCTTTCTCCCCCTTTCCTTCTTCATCAGTTCCTTTCCTTTCTCCTCCACTTTTTCATTCTTTTGTTTGCTTCCTGATCTATCATGTATGACCCCCTTCCTTTCTCCTTCCATCCGTTCCATCCTCCCTCCCTCTCCCTCTTTCTCTTCCTTCCCCTTTCCTTCACTCTTTTGCTTTCTCCGCTTTGTTACAGCTACAACACCCAAGTTGTGCAGCGATGTGACGTGCTAGGGTGTGCATTTCCTGCTAGTCGTCCGCTTGATCCCCCAGAGGCTACCCTTAAATCAAAAGTGACTTGTGTGGAAGAAGCTTTAAACTTTAAACAGACCTTTCAAAGGTTTACAGATTCTATCCAAACACACACAAACACACACAAACACTGATCCACACTCCAGCCTTTTGCACTCCTAAATCCACATGTTCTCAAGCGTGTAAATCTAGAATTGTACCTTTACCCTGGTTGCTCAGTGGAGCAATTCACCCCGCACAGTAAGTGTAGATTAACAAAACACCACTGTTAAAATAAGGGACGAGCTCGTTGATCCGCAATTAGCTTTAATAGAGAATGTCCTGGGAACTCACCCATAATGAAATTATTCTTCTTCCCGTTCCGGTTCAGAAGTGTCTAAATTTTTCACACTTACAGTGTTTGCAGCCTCCCCGTGATCATGTAATCAAAATGGCAGCTGATTCACACTTACGACCGTTGCTGTGTTCTAAGGTCACGGGATCCCCTTTTGCGACTTCTGACAAGACAAGGCAACACTTGGAAGGCAGATTCACTTAACAACTATGTTACTATTAGTGTCGTGCCCCTGTCAGAATCTTGACTTGGAAGAGGAAGCCGAACAGCTGACAGGGAGTGGGAGTGCAGCTCCGTTGGCTGTGGAAGAAACCGGAGAAGGGCAAAGTCCGGCTGGGCAGAGCAGGGGAGAGGTAGAACAAGGGAGAGGGAATCCGGAGGAAGACCCAGGCTCACCCCCTCTTCGCCCTAGGGCACGCAAGGGAGGAATGGAGAAGAAAGCAACGTGGGTTGCTTGGCTTACGGGGGAGGAAAGGGCCCTGATTCCCTTCATTAGCTGCAGCTGGGAACACAGTGTATAAAAAAGGCAAGCTGTGTGCAGCAAACTGTTGGGAGCAAACCTGAATTTATCGGGTATCGTGTGGCTTATCTTTGTTCCATGCACCTTCCCAACTGTATGAGTTTTGCCATGCTTTCAAGTCTGAAATTCCTGCTCCTGCCCTGTCAAGCTAATTACTTCCGTTTGGCTTGTTTGGACTTTAAGTTACAGTTTGTGTGTACCTTGTTTTGGACTAAATTTTCTACAGCTAAAGGCTGTTCCTGGGAGAGTTCTTCTCTAGCACCTGGACATTGGGGGCAAAGTTGGAGATAATAAAAAAGACTCTTATTGCTTATTTGACTGTATTGCCTCTGTGCCAAGCCCCGGGTTATCACAATTAGTTATCCACTGCAGTGATTTACTAAAAAGCTGTGGCAAGAAAGGTAGTAAAACAGAACAAAATTCACTTAACAAATACCTCCCTCAACAACAGAAATGTTGGTCTCGGTTGTGATCGTAAGTCGAGGACTAACCTGTATAGACTTATTCTTTTTTTTTTCTCTGCTAAATAACCCACAGATTTTTTTCACATCAGGTTAGGCTAGAATTAAAACAGGGCAATAGATACTTGAGGATCCTCAACCGTGGTTTGTAAGTTGAGGTTTAGTGGTTTGTTAACCCGCTGAAAAAAGTGACTTAACGGCTGCTCCTCACACTTATGACCATTGCAGCATCCCCAGAATTTTTGACGTGATCAACATTCAAGTCCCTTGGCAAATCAGCATGTATATTTGGCATTTATGTCCTGGGGGGCGTCCTGTGATCAACATTTGTGAGATCCCCAGCTAGATTCGAACATGCCAAGTCAATGGGGCAAGCCAGTTCCCTTTACAAGCACGTGGTTCGCTTAACAGCTAAAGTGATTCACTTAACAACCGTGGGGCAAAAAGATTGTAAAACCGGGTATGGCTTACTTAACCGCCACCTTGCTTAGCCATCCTGGAGCCAATTGTGGTCGTAAGTCAGACACTGCCTGTATTTTTGAGGGCGGGGGGTGGGGAACACTCGCTGGCTTAGTGTGTTATCTGAACCCTGCTGAAAGTTTATGTCCCTTCGGCTGTCAGGGCTCCGCCGGTTACCCCCCATTTAAACCATGAGTCTCGAGCCAAACTTCCAAAACTTCAAAAGGATTTATTAACATGTCAGGCACTGCCTGGATGTAGCTGACTCTGAGACACATCATTCATTGTCACCCTTGACCCTGGTTTTCCCCCATCCCCAGGGTGTATATTCTCCAATGGGATACATCCATAGCCCGGAGTCATCAATCATGTTCTCCAGTTAGAATTTTGTGTGGCAGAAACTTCAATCGCCTAGTTCCTAACTTTGAAAACTATTTATGGAATGCACTTTTGGTTTGCAAGCTGCCGCACTGCTCCCCCGTCCCTTTCTGCTGGCAATTCTGAAAAGACCAGGGAAATATTTTAGGAGTTGACCTTGGCTTTCCCTCCTGCAGAGCTCTTTAATGCTGTCCAACGGAGAAAGGATGCGAGCCATTTCAGATTACTTGAACAGTAGCAAAAAAAGGAAGACGGACAAAGAATACGGCACGGATTACGTGAGTGGCTTCCCTTCTTGGAGCCAGCAGTCTTTGGGAAGGAGGGTTGGGTGGAACTGAGTCAGCGGTGCTATGCTGCCAGTTCGCACCGGTTCTAGCGATCCGGTTCCGCTGGTCAGCGGTTGGCCCCGCCCACCTGGCCCCACCCTTTCCTGTCCTATATTCCCTTTGTTTGTAGCTCAGCTGATAGGCGCGGCAGAGTGGATTGCCGCGCTTCAGCTGTTTTACTCACCAGCGCCGACGGTAAGTTTTCATGCTTAAAAATTGCTCTTCCCGCCCGCCCACAGAATCAGTAGTAAAATATTTTGAATTCCACCACTGAACTGAGATTTTGTGCAAGTGGGTGACGGAGTCGGATTGTGTCATCGGTTGGCCTAACGTTGCTTCGAAAACTTGGCTAATCTTTCCTCCCTTCTAAAACTTGCAGCCCAGATGGGGATACAGGTAGTCCTCGACTTATGACCCCAGTTGAGCCCAAGATGTCTGCCGCTAAGCGAGACGGTTGTTCCCTGGGTTTTGCCCCATCTTACGACCTTTCTTTGCCACAGTTGCTAAGTGAATCGCCACGGTTGTTTGTTAGGAACACGGTTATTAAGTGAATCTGGGTTCTTGTTTGTCCAGGAGGTCACCCAAAGGGATCATGTGATCCTGGGACACTGCACCCGTTGTAAGTATGGGTCAGTTGCTAAGCGTCTGAATTTTGATCACATGACCTGACCGTGGAGATGCTGCAACGGTCGTAAGTGTGAAAAACAATTGTAAGTCAGCGGCTTCAGTGCCATTGTAACTTTGAATCACCATTAAATGAACCGTTGTCAGTTATTAAACAAGTAGTCCTCGAATTACATTACAACGGTACTGGAAAAAAAAGTGACTTTTCTCTTACTTACGACTGTCGCAAGATGCCCATAGTCGATTGGTCGCCAACTGGTGGGCTGTAGCTCACTGGTGGGCTGTGAGAAAATTTGGGGGTCAACAGAGAAATGTCACCCCCCCAGAGCACCCCTGAAGCAATTAATCCAGGCAGCATGGGAACACAAGGCTGTCCCACATGGCCTGCGGGAACACAAGGCTTGTGTCTCTTGCGTTGCAAACAACACGAGGTAGTGAGGGGAGGGGGGAAAGGGTGAACGGGGGGCGGGGGGGACGACTTTCCGCTTCTTTCTTTTGCTTTTGGCTCCATGCAAGGAAAGCAGCAAAAGTCTTTCTTCCTCTCCCCCAAACTGTGCCAGGAGAGAAAGAAAGACAGTTCTGCTGCTTCTGCTGCTTTCCTTGCATGAAGCCAAAAGTCTCTCTCTCTCCCCCTGAAAACGGAGCTGGGAAGAAGGTTAGGAATGTGGCTGCCTTGGAGTATGTGTGTGAGAGAGAGAGAGAGAGAGAGAGAGAGAGAGAGAGAGAGGAGAGAGGATATTCTGTGATCAGTAGGAAAATGGGGTGGGGAATTTTCCTGCAGACTTTTTTGGGATTTTCCCAGGGATTCTGCAGACACAGTCCTAGGAAAATCCCCCCAAGAGTCTGCAGGAAAATCCCTCTCCCCGTTTTCATACCGATTGCAGAATTCTTTCTCTCTCTCTCTCTCTTTCTCCCCCTCTCTCTCGTGGTCTCTTGCGCTCCCTCCCTCCCTCTCCCTCCCTCTCTGTCTCTCTCTCTCCCTCCCTCCCGAGAACTAGTAGTCTGCAGGTATTAAAATTATGAGTTTGGTGGTCCTTGAGGTCACGAAGGTTGGCGACCCCTGCCAGAGTCACACAATCAAACTTTTGGCAGTCGGCAACTAATATAAATTTAACATTATATATATTTACAAAATGCTTTTGATACGGTTGCAGTGTCCCTGGTTCGTATGATTGCTATTTGCAACTTTCCCAGACATCTTCCAACAAGCAGAGATGGGGGGAGAGAGCCACTTTCGCTTAATGACCATATCATTCACTTAACAACTGCGGTGATTCGCTCAATGACCATGTGATTTCCTTAACACGCACAGAGGTTCGCTCAGCAACCGTGTGATTCATTTCACAACGGATGTGTTTCAAAAAAAAAAACACCTGTGGCAAAAAAGGATCATAAAATCATGTGTGACTCACTTAGTGGCCGCATTGCTTGGGGAGGAGGATGTTCCGGTCCCAATTGTGGTTATAAGTCGAGGACAAAACCTTTGCTGTTCTTCTGCAGGTTGCTCCTTTGAACTGGAGCTCCTGCTCCAATGAGCCAAATGTCCCCTCCTCAGTTTGCGTTTCCCGCGCCCGCCCACCCACCCACCCTGAAATAAATTTCTTTTTCTGCCCTTCCTTTTCATTTTTTTCAGGGCAGCGATGGGGAGAAAAGTGAAGACAACTTGGTGGTGGATGAGGTTTGTGTTACGTATTGTTCTGACCGAGGCTTCCTCAAACGTACTTAAATGCAAACTTATTTTAAAAGCAAAACCTATTTTATTGCAACACTGGGAATTACTTGTATTCTCAGCCAAAACTAATGATAAACAGTTCCCCAAGATAAGCACACGCCTGTCAGTGCTGTGGAATGCTGCCAAAAAAAACCGAAATTCATTATAACAGAAAACACCCAAAGTACCAGAGAAAAAACGACCAGAATACACAGAGCTTCAAGGAGGACTCGGAATCTAATTGAACGGCTTTGCTTCCTGCAAAGGGTTCGTCACTGAGGTCTGACTTTTATCCCTTATGGGAGGGGCAATCACCTCCCAGCCTTACTCCCGAGTCGCCCCTTCTGTTTCAGCTGCTCTCGCCTTCTAGCAGCTCTGCGCACGCACACTGGGAACAGGCTCCCCTGGGTCCTCTGCCTCACTGCTGCCAGACTCCGGAGGCAGCAACCCATTCCCAGATGGTCCTGGCCCCATCTCTGCCTCGGATGCAGGTCCAAATTCTCTCCAGGTTCCCTGCCTGGTCCCCTTTCTTCCTCACTGTCCAACTCAGCTGCTCTCTGCACCGGCTGCCGGTGAACCATAACACACACACACAGAGGGATGGCCAGAGGAGTTCTAAATATGCTTTGAAGAGCAATAAAGCCGGGGGTTGGGTGGTCTTTTAGCACACGGAGGTGAATTTAGGGGGGAGCTGGAAGGATGGGTTATATAATTGAAGCGAGATTGAATGGCTTAAAAGCAGCACTTCTCCAAAATGGGCTTTTTTTAAGGTATTGTGGACTTCCAACTTCCAGGATTCCCCAGCCAGGCGTGGACGAGAACTTAAATGATCCTTACTATCTCCTTCAACAGGGGTCTCCAACCTTGACGGCTTTTAGAATTGTGGACTTCCGACTCCCAGAATTCCTGGGAAAAAAATGGCTGCCTGAGGAATTCTGGGAGTTTGAAGCCCACAAGTCGCCAACGTTTGGAGACCCCTGTCCTTCAGTAGGAAGTGGGATGGACTTGATGATCTTTTATTGTTTGGTTGGGTTAGGCCGGAAAGAAATCCAGAAACCTGGGAGGGTTCAGTGGGTGACATTGGGGCCCTCCACTCGGACTCAGCCTAACCTACCTCGCAGGGTGGTTGTTGCAGGCACCCGGCAAGATACCTGTGTCTGCCGTCGTCTGCTTTCAGAGAAAAGGAAGAATTCAAATACAATACAATGAATCGGGATAAATCGGGGTTTCTCTCCAACTAGGCCTCTTGGAAGTCCTGAGGCCTTCAACTCCTAGAATTCCCTTGTTGGGCTGAGGGCATTCTGGGAGTTGAAGTCCACAGTGGTCATGGTTGAAAAGCGCTGGCAGAAATGATGAAATATGACGGGACGGGAACAGAAAACAGGGGAGAGGAGGAAGTTTAAAACCTAACTTTTGTCCCCCCCTACCCCAGGATCCTTCTTCGCCCCACAGCGTCCAGTCCTTCTCCTCCCGAGAAAATGGGGTCGATAAAGCCACTCTGCATCGGAAAGAATTGGGCCACCACAGCCCCACATCCATGGCGTCTTCCAGCAGTGCCTCCCCAACGCGTCCCACTAAGGAGCTGGCCACAGTACGTCACCAGGAGGGATGGGCTCTTGGGTGTGCCGGGGTGTGGGGTTTGGGGTGGACTACAACTTCCATCATCCCCAGGCAGATGCGCCAACAGCGGGGGCTGTCCTTCCACATCGTGCAATAGTATCCCTGTTTTGATATTAGTTTCCATTTATGTCCGGTGCCTTCCACATGTTGTGGGACTACAATTCCCAGAAGTCCTTGCTGCCTGGGAAAGTTGGAAGGTCAGGATTCACATGGTGGCGGGGGCACCAGCTTGGGGAGGGTACAGAGTCCTAGGTTGTTTCTGGTTGTTTTTCTTGAAGATGTTTTATTACCAAACTAGGTAATGCCATCAGTGTTAGAAGGGTGTGGGGTTTGTAGAGTGAGGGAAGAGGAAGGGAAGGGAAGGGAAGGGAAGGAAGGAAGGAAGGAAGGAAGGAAGGAAGGAAGGAAGGAGAAAGAGAAAGAGAAAGAGAAAGAGAAAGAGAAAGAAAGGAAAGAAAAGGAAGGAAAGAAAGAAAGAAAGAAAGAAAGAAAGAAAGAAAGAAAGAAAGAAAGAAAGAAAGAAAGAAAGAAAGAAAGAAAAGGAAGGAAGGAGGATTGTGGGATCTTTGGTGATCCCTTAGCTTGGTTGTTTTTCTTGTAGACATTTCATTACCCAACTAGGCAACGTCATCAGTGCCAGAAGGGAGTGAAGTGTGTAGGGACGAGGAAGAAGAAGAGGAGAAGGAACGAAGAGAGAAAGATTGGGAGGTCTTTGGTTCTCTCCAAGTTTGATTGTTTAAAGCAAAGGTCTTCAAACTTTGCAAGTTTAAAATTTGTGGACTTCAACTCCCAGAATTCCTGAGCTAACATGACTGGAGGAGGAATTCTGGGAGTTGAAGTCCACAAGTCATAAAGCTGTCAAGTTTGAAGACCCCTGCTTTAGACGTTTCCTCAACCAACTAGGTAACATCATCAGTGCTAGAAGTGGGTATGGTTATTTTTTATATATATTCTAGAATTTAGTGCAGGGGTCCCCAAACTTGGCAAGTTTAAGACTTGTAGACTTCAACTCCCAGAATTCCTCAGCCAGCTATGCTGGCTGGAGAATATTGAGAGTTGAAGTCCACAAGTCTTAAAGTTGCCAAGTTTGGAGACCTCTGTTCCAGTGGCTTGCCTTGTTAATGTTGGTGGGGATGGTCTTTGCGATTCCTTGATAGGCTGTTGTGTATTATTGGCTTGTTTGGCAGTTTTTTGATTGGGATATTGTTCACTTCTTGATGGTTGGTCTGATGTTCAGCTGTAAAATTATCTGCTTATCTGATTGCTGGTGGGAAGGTGTTTTGATCGTTTCGTTTTCTCTTTGGTTTTCGTTATTGTCCCTTTTGAATGGTGTGTAGATGTGGTTTATCACTATGTGCCTGTTGATGGCCCATTGGCTTGACCGCCAGGCTTACAGGAACTTTCTAGCATTTGGGGACTTTTGGTCTAAGGATGGTTATGGTTTCCCAGTTGGAGAAGGTAGCTTTTCACATCGAGACCTTCCGTTACATCAAGTGTTTTTCAAACTCAGCAACTTTCGGATGGGTGGACTTCAACTCCCAGAATTTCATGCTGGCTGGGGAATTCTGGGAGTTGAAGTTCAGAGGTGTTAGAGTTGAGAAACAATCATCTAGATCCAGGTGAGGCCATCAAACCAGGCAGCTGGTGACCAAACCAATTTATCCATTATCCTGCTTAAAGGCCACAAAACATTCTAATCCCCCCCCATTAATAAAAATGAAGAGTTAACCTATTTTTTACTTTTACCTACTGTGTTTCTCCAAAAATAAGACCCAGTCTTATATTTTTTGGGGGGGGGGACCTCCAAAATAAGCACCAGGGCTTATTTTCAGGGGGTGTCTTTTTTTTTCTTCCACGTACAGGAGTTGGTACGTGTGGGGGCCAATGGGAGCACTGCTACCGCGGGGTTCATTCTCTCCACTGGTCCTTACTGTGGCGGCCATGCCTTCCCACCGCCGGTCTGATGACGACCTTCACTGGGGCTTATTTTGGGGGAGTAGGGCTTATATTAGGCACATGCTTAAAATCAGGCTAGAGTTTATTTTCAGGATAGGTCTTATTTTCGGGGAAACAGTAGTTAAATGAATCTGGCTTCCCCCTTGACTTCGCTTGTCAGGTGGTCACAAAACGTGACCTGGGGGGACCAGCGACGGTCATAAATAAAAACTGTTGAGGTAATTCCCCGTTAGGAGAATGAGCGCATACAGGGAGACGTATTTGAGAGAAGTGTTTGAATAATACACACACAGTACACGGATACACTGTACAGTAAATGTAGGTTTTTACTTCCAGAAAGGGTTAAGCAAAGTCCAAAATAAGCAATCCAAAGTCATTCACAAGTTAAATCAGTCAGTTTTCAATCCAGGGATAATCCAAATATCAAAGTTCAGTGTCAAAAAACAGTTCAGTAACAGACTTACATTAAATCCAGTAATATCAGTCAATTAGGAAAAATGGAGGAACGGCAATATTTTCCAACAGAAGGAAACAGAGATACTCACTCAGACACACTCTCTTCTGAGACTAAGACTAAGACTAAAACAACCCAGCTTTCTGGCTCCATCTTATGGCGGTTTGAGTTAACCACACCCAATTGCAGTTTTTAGCACGCTCTTAAAGAGACAGTATTAAAATGTCTATCCTGGTTTATATATTTCTAACCCAAATATCTGTTAGGTGACTTATATTCCTAACAGAAACCAAGCGCCAAGCGCCTGGATTTCGATCCCGTCATCGCAGGGACGCTACAAAAGGTCCATAACTCTGGTCAGAAGTTGCTTTTTTTTTTTTCGGTGCCGTTGTAACTTGTCACCCAGCGTGTGGTCGTAATTCGAGGTCTGTCTGTATGGCAGTGACCAGTTTCGTAGCAGGGTAGGTTAGAAGGACTTGAGGCAACAGCTGTTTTCCGCTCCGTCGGCCTGCCAAGAGCGAAGGGATGTGGGTTTGTCAGAATCCCTCCCCCCGAACATCAGGGCTGGAGAGAGGCTTCCCTCAAAAAGGCTCTCTTGGGACCGCTGAGGTTTTCCAGAGCCCGGTTTTGGCAACGGCAGCACCAACAGCTGCAGGAAAGTTTGGGGAAGCCAGCTGCTGTTTCCCACATTTGAAGACATGTCGGACTTCTACACACACACACACACACACACACACACACACGCACGCACGCACGCAACCCTTCTGGCCAATTCCCCCCGCTCCCCCGGCAAGATTCCCCCCAAAAGCTTGTCCTTCTTCCAAAACTGAAGCTTTGCTGCAGCGAGAATACCAAATTTTGGACAGCCTTTTATGAAGATCCCAGTTCCCCTCCCCTCCCTTCCCTTCCCCCTTCTTCCCTTCCCTTTTCCTTCCCTTCCCCCTTCTTTCCTTCCCTTCTCTTCCCTTTTCTGTCCCTTTCCTTTTCCTTTCCTTTTCCCTTCTTCTCCTCACTTTCCTTCCGTTCACTTTCCTTATCTTTCCTTTTTCATTTCCCATATCTTTTCTTTCCTTTTCCTTTCCTTTTCCTTTCCCCTTCTTCCCCTCCCTTCCCGGCCCTTCCCCCTTCTTCCCCTATCTCCCCCCCCCCCCCTTTTTTGTTTCCTCCTTTCCTTTCCTTTTCCTTCTTTCTGTTTTGGCAACAACTCAAATTTCACTGTGTGTTTTTCGTCCCCTGGGTTTTATCTACCAGGCCTTACGACGTAGCTGTTGTAGTTTCCTTTCTACACATTCAGGTATAACTCAGCTTTTCTGTATATGTGGGCCATTACAGGTAGTCCTCCATTGACCATGGTTTGTTTAGTGACCGTCCAAAGTTACGACGGCACTGAAAAAAAGGGACTTAAGACCGTTTTTCACACTTACGACTGTTGCAGTATCCCCTGGTCACGTGATTCAACATTCAGATGCTTGGCAACTGACTCATATTTCTGACGGCTGCCGTGTCCCAGAGTTACACGATCCCCTTTTGCGAACTTCTGACCAGCGGATCAACAGAGAAGTCAGGCTTACCCAGTTGATCACTGGAAGCTTTCAAGAAGAGACTGGACTCCCATCTGTCAGAAATGGTGTAGGGTCTCCTGCTTGGCCAGGGGGTTGGACTAAATGACCTCCGAGGCCCCTTCCAATTCTGATTATCTGTCATCTGTTTCACTTAACAGTGGCAAGAAAAGTCAGGACACGTTACAAAACTCACTTATAACAAACGTCTCCCTGAGCGACATACATTTGGGGCTCCATCGTGGTCGTAAGTCGAGGACCAGCCGTATTTATTTATTTATCTAATTTATATTGCCGCCTCTTCGCCCGTGGCGACAACGAGGCAGCTTACACAATGGACAACCATATTTAAAAACAAAAAATTAAAATTAAAAAAATTAAAAACAATAAAAACCCAACAAAAGCAATCAAATATATTGCACCCAAAGCGAAATCATCAAAATGATTTTATACCCACGCCTATTTAACATTCTTGGCAAACTTGCAGTTCTCGGGTGAAAATCAACTTCCTCTCCTGCTTTTAGGCTGGTGGGTTTTATTTTTCCTTTCTCCACCCCCACCTCCATTTCTTTCTTTCTTTCTTTTTTTCCCCCTTCTCTCTCTCTCTCTTTTTTTGGTCATTTTAACACTTGTCTAACAGATTTGGAGAAGTCTGCTTTGTTTTCCTGGCCTTACGAGATAAATGTGGTTCCAGAGGCAGATTCCGCGCTCGGTGGTATATCTCTGAGCAGATAAATGGAGGATTTGTATTGCAAGGATAAAAGCTTCGTCTCTGCCTCTTTGAAACGCAAGCTGTGTTCAAGGTCACATTCTGAAGAAAAAAAAAAACACAAAAAAACCAGGCTGTTTTTCTAGTGGTGGGTTCCCAAGCATTTTTACCAAGGACGTCTTCAACGCCCACGTTTCAACAATACAGCCGTGACCACAATGGTCTGCGGCCCTTCTCACTATGGCGACACTATCCGACAAGTGAGGGGCGTTGAAGTGGATTTCTTCAAGGGCCACATCCCCATTGTAGTTCTCCTCCAGGCCGGGGTGCGGGGTGAGACGCCTCCTGCAGCACTTTGCTGACCAAAACGGGGTGTGCCCCACAATTGCCACGGTGTAAAAAAAGATGTTGAGGCTGTAGAAAAGAGTGAAGAGAAGAGCAACGAAGAGGATTTAGGGGACTGTAGGCTAAAATAAAAGGAAGAACGGTGGCAGGGACTGGGTACATCTAATTTACTGAAAAGAAGGACTAGGGGAGACATGATAGCGGTCTTCCAATATTTGAGGGGCTGCCACAAAGAAGAGAGAGTCAAGCTATCCTCCAAAGCCCCTGAAGGCAGGACAAGAAGCAATAAGGATGGAAACTAATCCAGGAGAGAAGCAACTTAGAACTAAGAAGAAATTTCCTGACAGAACAATTAACCGGTGGAACAACTTGCCTCCAGAAGTTGTAAATGCTGTCCAACATTGCAAGTTTTTAAGAAGATGTTGGATAACCATTTGTCTGAAGTGGTGTAGGGTTTCCTGCCTAGGCAGGGGGTTGGACTAGAAGACCTCCAAGGTCCCTTCCAACACCTATTCTATTCTATTCTATTCTATTTTTATTCCTTATATTCCATTCCATTCCTACCTTTGGCAGGCAGAGTGCTGCAGGGGGCTGTCCAGGCTGAAAATAGGGTGTGTGGGGGGTCCCTATGTGCTCCCCCTCCCACCCATACCCTGTTTTGGCTGCCAGAGGCACTGTGGGTCCGTCCTTTGCTATTTCCAGGCCAGTTTTAAGCCCCCCACTGGCCAGATAGACTGGTCCTCGCGCTTACCACCATTGCAGCGCCCCCATAGTCACTTGATCAAAATTTGGGGCACTGGGCAGCCGGTATGTATTTAAAACAATTGCAGTGTCCCAGGGTCATGTGATCTATCAATCCATCAGGATAGAGCTGGAAAGGGACCACGGAGGTCCTCTAGTCCAGCCCCCTATCAAGAAGGAGACCTCATGCCATTTCAGGCAAGGGGCTATCCAGTCTCTTCTTAAAAACCTCCAGCGATGGAGCAGCATTTGTGACCCATCCCAGCCGGCTTCTGTCCAATAAATTCAAATTGGATCACCACTAATTCGATTTAGTTTGAAGAATCAGGAAGGAGGTAAGTTTTGTCCAAATCGCTTATTTGTTCGTTCCATCGCTTCTGATGTTCCAGCTGACCTCTGGGTAAGCTCCCCATCCTAAGCTTCATATCAAAACCACAAAACACAAAAGCAAAAAAACAAGGCAGGAGGAAATACAAATCGTTTTTGAGGGTCGGTGTTGCCCATGGAAAGACGAGGTGTCAAATAGAACGTAAATAATCCCATTATTCAATTTTCTATGTTCATGTAAACAAATAAGCTGTATTTCACAGGTAGAGAAAGCAGTCACCCCCGGTTTGAAATCCAACACCCCAAATTCCCAAGGTGAAGGAGCCATGCCCGGATCTTCTGGCACCCTCTACCAGTTCCGTCCAGGAGTAACGAAGCAGACGGTGGAGTCACTTGGTAATCGTCTTCCTTTAATGACCCTGTAAATCCCTTGTGGGGTGGAGCCTGGGTAACTGAATGGAGCTAGCAGAGTGTTTTAATGGCCGGATGCCTTTCCTGCTGCCAATGAGGAGTTTAGTTCGGCAGATATATTCTCAAGTGTGCCCAGAGAAGAGAAATAAATACTTGCCTCTAGCTAGGATCGAACTCACAGCCCCCTGATTGTGAGGCGAGATCTCCACCTCTAGGCCACCACACCGCTCCCAGAATCACTCTGGTAATGAGGATGGTGAAAAGGGACGCTGGGAGTGATAGAATCGGGTTTAGGGGGAGATTACACCTTGCTACATTTTTTTAGTAGGCCTTTACCTCCATTGAGAAAATTAGCACCCACTTGCTAGCTTTCTAACTGCAGGGTGTGGGTAGGAATTGGATGAAAAGCAAATGCAAAATTTTAGGATCAGAGGAATGTCTCCCCACCTCACCCCAACCCCTTTCTAACTCCAGTTTTCTAAACAACTTTTTTTTAAAAAAAAAAATATTGCTGTGTGAATTCTTAAAGAAGCCAGAATGAGTTATGAATAGTTGTGGAGTCAGCAGTATAACAAATCTTACAAAAAGAAGGCTACCCCCTGGGCAAAAAAATAAAATCTGAAGTCTGGAGAACTCAGAAAAAAAGTGAAAAAAAAATTTCCCAACACATGAAAGATTATTTAATAACATTTCTGGGTTCCTTTTGTTCTTTTTGCCATATGAACTTTAAAAAAAGGCTTCGGTTTTCTGGGCATCTGTTCGATGAAGATAAATCTATTGTCCTTTTAATAGTTCATTGTTTTAAAAACAGCCAGTATTGAGAAATTTTCCTGGTCCTGTTTCAGAAATTTCTGCGTCCATCATAAGGACTAGAAACTTCAAAGCCATTCCCATTGGATTAACCAAGAAGGGTTGCAAAGAAGAGTTGTTGGGGTTTTTTTGTGTGCGTGAGGAGAAAAGCGTTTGGGGCAGGAAGTCATCACTGTAGGGCTGTTAAGAAAGCAATAAAATAAAATAAAAATAAAATGGAGGACCAAGGTTATCTGAAGGGAGATGCGAAACTGATGAAAGGACAGTTTTAAAGCACCCCTGTCAATAAGCTCATAAAAATTAGTGGCAGGCTAAAGTGGTTGGCCAGAATCTTAATTGGCTTAGAGTGTGTAACTCGCACCTTATTTATTTTTTAAGGTTGGGCCAGTGAGTGGAGAGAGAAAGGGGAGTTAAACTGTAATGCAGGCCTGCTTTTAAGACTGAATTTCTCCAACCTCAGCAACTTTGAGGTATGGACTTCAACTCCCAGAGTTCCTCAGTCCAGATCTGAGGACTTAAAAGTCCCAGAATTCTTCAGTCCAGATCTGAAGATTTAAAACTTCCATAATTTCTTGGTCCAGATCTGAGGATTTAAACTCCCAGAATCCCTCAACCCAGATCTGAAGACTCAAAACTCCCAGAATCCCTCAGCCCAGATCTGAAGATTCAAAACTCCCAGAATGCCTCAGCCCAGATCTATGGACTTCAACTCCCAGAATTCCTCAGTCCAGATCTGTGGACTTCAACTCCCAAAATCC